TGAATTCTTAGTTAATCTACATAGTGCAGAAATACCCTTTAGACTTGTGTTAGGGGTCGTATCGGCTGTCTCCATAAAAGAGGGGGGGTTCAGATAAGTTTGTGGGGATACTTGGACAAACGTTTCGTGTAGTAGTATGCTTTCAAAAAATACATCTATAAAAGACAAAAGAAGGTGATACTTTCATTATTTATATTAGAAGTACAACACAACGCAGGTGGACCTTCGAAGTTACATAGAGATAGCTGTTTAAAAATTGAAAAAATATGAAAATTGTGAAACGTTTGAAAGGCAGAAGCTACTTGTAATCTAAGTGGTAATAAGAAATAGAAGAGTGCATGGAATAACAGTGGAAACATCCCTAGCTCCATTGACAGTGGAAATAAGTCTTGTGGTAAAGCTGAGACTTGAAATAAGAGTATAAGTTCTACCACTATGAACAACGGAAAAAAGGAGCAAGAGGATAATACGGAAGGATAGTTGACGAAATGCCGTAGAAAAAGGGATGAAAAAAGCTTTTTATGAACGATTACAGAGTGTTAATAATTTTGAAAGAGAGCTCTACGACAGAAAGCAAGACCAAAGAAGATCTTACACAAACGTTTTCAGGGCTTAAATCTTGGCCCTGATAAATAAAAATTTATCTATAGTCAAAGACGCTTTAGTTTATTGCTTTAAAACTAATTATTTTTTTGTTTAATATTGAGTGGACTGCAAAACTTATGCGAAATGAAGGTGGGGCCAGATGAGTGGAGCCACTCGTATCAAATCACAGATAAGGATATAGGAAAAATAGTAAGTATCACTCAGCTTTTTTACTACGTAAGAAAAAAATTTAATAAACTTAAGTAATATCATGTGTTCAGTAGAGCATCTAAGCAATGGCATAGCAAAAAATTAAGCTTGTTGTGCACGAACTAAAGCTATAATGGATAAGCTACTTTACAGGGCAGCAAGCAAAACAACAATGTATATATTTATAGTATAAGCATTACGTATAAATCGTGAAACGATAATAATAGTTGGATGAAGTTCTTGGTGTAAATAATTTAAGAAGCAAAATATACAAATAGAATCACAGTTCATTGGAAGGAGAAAGCTTATGATAATAATTTGTCATTATTATTGCCTTACTTTATGAATAAATAAATAAAATGAATAAGACCTGAATATTTCTCAAATTAAATAAGGAGGCGCTTTTTTTGTGTTATGCAAATTAGTGCAGAAATTTAATTATAGAATAAAAGTTACATTTTAGGTTTAATTAGCACTGATAAGACAAAACATTGGATAACTCTTGGCAAATGAAGTCTAAATAAAATAGAGCCCTTTTTACAATAAGATGTAGTTCAATTCTGAACTCCTTTAATAGGAGGACTTTAATTCTTCTGTAGAACTGTTTAGTCAGGGTATAAACGTACAAATTTTTACTCTAATAACAAAAGTAAAAATATGAAAGAGTTCCTTATGAGCATATTGTACTAATAGTTAGTAATTATTTAGAATACATAGCATAAGCTTAAAAACGTTACATCGTAAAACTGATCTTTAAATGCTTAGAATACCTCACTTACATCTTTCTATATTATTTATTATAATTTAAACAATGGCTTCCATTTTAACACATGTTTACTATAGCGTAAATGATGTGCCCAACGAGAAATCTTTTACATTTTGTACCCATTTTTTACTTTATTATTAAGCATTCACTTTACTCTAAGATAGTACTGTCTCTTTAACTTCTGAAGTTTAACATAAAACGTTTATACTCCTACCTAAAAGCTTGAAATTATTGCTACTTTCAGTAGCTCGCGATTGTCTTTCAAATACAACTATAGTACAACAAAACCTTCCTTAATGAAATTATTCGCAATTTTCAAAAAAAATGGTGACGTTAAACTTTCATACTTTGTTAAAATATGCTTACATACATTAGTTCTCACACATCTCATTTTTTGGTGCTCTTAAGTTATATTTCCTACTCCAGATAATTTCTTTAAAGCTTATATACTAAAACACGCCAAATGTGGTAAGGGACACGTAAATTATTTATCACTATCTGTTCTTACTAACTAAAATTTAACTAATTAAAATTTTAAATATTTGTTTGCTAAACATCATCGTTAATAATATTAAAAAATCTAAGTATTACTTGATCTTGGTAGAGTCAACAAAAGATGTAAGTCATAAGAATGAATTGTGTTGAATTAATCGGTACACAGAGAAAAGTGAGCCTATTGGGCGATTTTTAACATATTTTTAGAATGGTAGACAAGAAGCTCACAAGATATTTACTGCTATCACATCGTTTTTCAAAATTTATGATACGAGCTTCAAAATTATCGCGGTTAATTATATGATAATGATTTAGTTATAAGCGGCTGATTCAATGGCTTGCAACTGCTAGTAATTAGAGAAACTAACTCAGCACTATATGTACCTTGCTTTACTCATTTTTTTAATGTAGTTTGTTCTTTTGCTATGTTATGTTGTTTCATAGCTAAAAAGTTATTTGATGCGTTAGAAAAACTTTATCCATTTTTTATTTATTTTTCTGTAAGGTTTGATTTACTAAAAAAAAAAATTGATAGATAATTAAATTCACGAAGTGATACCAAAAAGAGTTAGTACAACGTGGTGGAGTTCTTGAGTGGATGCAGTTTAATTTTTGTCCAAAGGACTTAAGATTTATAAGAATGTTTGAGAAAAACTAAAATAAGATGAGAGTCAAGATGACGTGAAGGGGATTTTTCAATTTTTAAACCACTTAAAAACTAACATTTACATTTTTTTTTTTTTTGAATGACGTACCACATAAAATGAATATAACGGGTTTAAAAAACAAAGCTATAATGCAGATCTAACTACATCTATTACGCTTTTAGAATCATTAAAATTGAGTATTTTATCCATGCAAGACAGCTATGAAATTAAGCATGTGTTTTTACTGAGTTTAAATACACAACAAAATGAGTATGCAAACGTAGTGAAAAATTGTGAAAATGCAGTACGTGATTTCAGTTTGAAAAAAATGTATCTACAATCTGTTCTCTTATTTCTCTATCTAGTTAATAAAGGACTAACAACCCCCATAACATTCTTCATATTTTTTAAACTTAAGATTATTAAAACACATTGTTTGAATGTAAGGAACTTTTGATTGTTTGTGTATGTGGATGGCGTTTCTAGCATTTCATGTGGTGCATAACAAAAAAGACCATCACTTTATTTTCACGCACTTGTGTAAAATTGAATCCTTGAGATTACGATCAAACAGAATCTGTTTATTTACGGGTTCACGAAAATTTTGATTCAGTTGTTATGTTTCTGTATTAGATAAACTTGTCATATCACTAAGTCAGAGAATAGCTACTTATGAAGAATCAGAGGAATATTTTGATTTCTTCAGAAACCTAGAATCTTACGAGTAAAGAAATACAAAAAAAGTACTGAAAAAATTGGAGAATTGTATGAAAATGATTTGAACGGAAGTTTAAATGATGAACTTGAGCAAATGAAATATTTTCATTCAGAATTTATAGACAAACGTTAAAGATAAAAGTGAAGAAGACAAATCTGTGCATAGTTAATAACTTTTCAATTAATTATCGACAAAGACTTGAAAGATGCTTTTTCTCATGTCTACAGTTAATTAAAAAAGTATCTTGTACTAATAACAACAAATTGAACAGCCAAAAAATCATTTTCAAATTGATTCCAAGCCGATTAAGATCTTCAATGGATGAAAATTATTTAATCAATCATCACTGATGAACATTCAAAGTAATCTTTTAAGAAAAATATCTTATTATGACATAATAAGCGATTTTTCAGAAAAAAATCTCGCAAAGTATGATTGAAAAAGTATTTGTAAGAAATAATTGTCATAAGGGCTATTCTATGGTCTTGTTTCTAACGACGTAATAATAAATAATTGATAAACGTTCTTGAAGAAAAACGATATTTTTTGATTATACTGTTTTTCTAATCATGTTTGAATGATAACTGATCCTCTGCGATGTCTACGCTTAATCAACCGAATTGTACAGTTATAGAGAAAAAAAGAAACTTGAGAAAATGGGTTAGTCTTTAATAGGCAAATAATACAAATCATCCTCTATCTAAAATCACCAATAAAATCTATACGAGATGTTGAAATAAGCACTATAACCATCTTCAACGCGTCAGAGCTTCGTGATTCTTCTCCTGACCAGTATGATACAACGTCAGAAGCCAGAGAAGATCACTCTGAGGTATCCAGTCAGTCACGTTTTCTTTAGTCAAAAAAGTGTTTAGTTATGTAGTCTCGTCTATGGTCATCTAACCTTAAATTGTCTTGCTAAAAAATGTATGACAACAAATCAAAGTTTGTAAAAAATGGCCCTTTTTTAACATGGATTACTTAAGGTTTCCAGCTGTTTTAATAGACAGAATAATAAATATTTATATTTATTGGTACACTAAAAAAAAAATGATAGGGCTCCAGGACTTTTTCATTCTCGTAATTAGATTTTGTAATTGAAAAGAAATTTTGATATAAATTTTGTAATAATTTAAAATCTTTACAGCCTTACAAAACAGCTCTATCTGTATATTAGAACAGGAGAAGTTGTAAATTAACAGCTCTTTTTTTTAACAACCGTTTTATAACGGAAGAAGCGAGTGGTACTTTTTATTATCATCGTATTTTTTTAAAACTTTTTCACAGCTTATTATTTAATTACGACTACGTGGATTTTGAACAAATATTGGTTCAATTGAAATTTTCTTTTGTTTCACTAAACGTCAAGGCTGGAAAATGTTAAAGTATCCATTGACTAAAAATATTAAACATTACAGATGAATACACTAGGGTACTTGAATCTACTCCAACCTATTAAGAAAGTCGGATAAAATATTGTAATTAAGACAATATAGTAGTTTGAACCTAAAAAATAAATTCTTTAAAAGAAAACTTTGTTTAAGGTATTAAAAATATTAATTTCAAAAATGTATATAACCTTGTCACCCATTTTCTGGACAACTGAAGGCGTGGGTCCTATGAAACGCATGCCAGCATCTACAACAGCTTGAGCGAAATCTGATCTCTCTGATAAAAAACCATAGCCAGGATGAATAGCATCAACACTGTTTTCCTTAGCAACCATAATTATTTCAGGTATGTTAAGATATGCTTGAACTGGTGGTAATCCACGTCCAACAATGTAACTTTCATCTGCTTTCTGCCGATGCATTTGCATTTTGTCATGTTCAGAATACACAGCAACTGAGCGAATTCCCAGCTCCGTACATGCTCGAAATACTCGAATAGCTATCTCTCCTTAAGAACGTTAAAAATAATCAGTGTACATCAGAAAAAGGACTTATTATGTAAGTGAATAAATGTAAATTTTCATATAATTGTATTTTATAGATTTATTTTTTTCTACCTTTTAGAATTCAGCACTTCTAATGCTCCTTATAACTATCTCACGAACTTTTTGTAATATTATTTAATAATAACACCATTGTTTTTTTTTTAATGTTCCAAAAACTTCCAAACATTTGCTGCAGATGAACGTCAGCAAGTACAAGATTCATTTTATTATTATTTTTTTAAATCTTTAAAAATAGATTATCACGTCACTAAAACCGTTTTAATTTTTGTGAGGTTTATTAAGACTGACCACATGATTTATGAAGTAGGGATTTGAAAAGTAAAATTTATGATAAGAAGGCAATATAACATTCAAATAATTTAAAGTGTTGGTATTTAATTTTATTTTAATTTTTTTCTTTTTTTTTTTTAAGCATCAACTAAACAAAAAAAGTAGCTTATTATAAGTTAATACAAAATCTAACTCTTTTGAAAAAAAAGTTGTAATTATATAATCTCTTTTAGATACAACGTAGACGGACGTGGCCTAAAGTGAGTTAGTTAACGTTAAAACCCAGAAAATTTAGTATTTATACGATGATAACGATTAATTCTATTTTCTTAAGCAGAGTGTCCATAGAACTGCAAAATGAATAAGCAACATTGGGTCATTTTTAATTAATTTCTGATCTGTTATTAAAAATAAGGAAACCCTTGAAAAACTTAAAAAACTGCTTGCCCTAAGGAGAAGCTTAAAGCAGGTTATCATACAGGGTAAAGTGGGTAGGCACCTCATTAAAGGGAAATATGTTCTAAATAATTATTAACTAGTAATGTTGGTTTAACTTAATCCCCTTTTAATAGCTTAAGAGTCTTGCTTCTAAAAATATAGTGATATTTGAATTGGTTACTTGAAAACTTGGAATAGTAACTGATATTTCAAAAATTTCTAAAGCAAATGTCACATTTGTAATAACGATCTGCTCTATTTCTTATTCTCATTTACTTACTATATGAAAAAAAATTATAAAAAAAAATAACAAATAATATCAGTGAAGATCAGAAACATGGTCAACACCCAAAATAAAATTCCAACGTTTTTTGGCTTTATTTAAATCTCAATCAGCTTAAACTAAAAAAAATGAAAATTTAAGATACAACAAGTGTAGCCGTTTTTGGCAATTTGTAAATAACATATCTCTAATTTTTTACATCAAATTATTGATCCTCTAAAAATGGCGTAAAACAGTGTGAGCAAACAAGATTTTTGGCTGAAAAACCCACACTGGACCAAAAAAATTTCTCTGTATAGATCTTGAGCCTGACAACAAACGTTACCATATAAGGATGAAAAAAAGTGTCAGCAATAAGTCCTAAATAAAGATAGAAATAGCCGAAATTTTTTTTTGCCTCTACCAGAAAAGCTGCAATTTGGAAAAACAAACGTTTTGCATAGAAAAGATGCACAATTTCAAGACAAACAAAAAAGAGCCAAGGTGGACCTTGGCAAAATTGGCTCTGCCATTTTTTCGCAAATTGTCAAGAAGTTCTAATTTCGTTCTGTTTTTCAGTAGTTTGTAGCTGGCATTTTAAATAAAATTTTGATTTTAAATATTAACAGAACAAGGGTTTTGTGATTAACAATCATACAAAATTTCAAGATAATTGGATGCAAGCTTTTTGCAAACCGTCAAATAAACTAACAAAAGGTCCTTTTGAACGACGGCTCTAAAAAAATCGTTAGACCAGATAAAGCTGTTTTCAAAATGTCATGTTTTTATATTATGTTGATCTAACTCTGGTGAAATCTTCGTATCCCTAATAGTTTCGTAAGTATCCTAAAAATTTGTCGGAAAAAAGTGTTTTTTTACAAAGTACCAACGGTGGCGCTGGCTTAGGAACGCTGCCGATTCAGGCCACACCCAAGAGGGAGAAAAAGACCTCACTCTGCCGTCAACGCGTTGTCAAGCGAGTTTCTTCAAACTGATGGGGTTGGCAAAATTATCGATATCTCCTGATCTGAGAATTTTCAATTGACAATTTCTTTAGTATGGGGTAGCTCGTAATAGTATCGAGATTGTACGTATCAACAACATTCTGGTAATGAACATAGCTGCTGCAAATTCAGTCCTACACTAATTGGAATCAGTAACCTTGTGCATAAAATATTTCTAGTGATATAAGTATCTATAGAAAATATGTGGGTACCACGTTATATTGAATATAAGCTATGAGAAAAAATTAAAAAATTATTTTTAGTAATTCGATTTAAATTTTTTGACTGTTGCAACTACAATAAAGTTTTGTTATACAATAAATAATATATTATTTATTTTTAATGTCATCTTCTAGAAAGCTATAGGTGATGTCATCGTCCAAAGGCATCTTAAATTGAAAAAGGGAAACGAAACTATAGAGTGCAATTAGTGTATAACCATAATTGTAACAGTTATGTTTATTACTAGAATTTTGTTGATATGTGCAATTTAATTATTACCACAAACTATCCGATATTAAGAAGATAATCGTCGACTTACGGTGCTGAGATCAGGAGATATCAATAATTTTCTTGACCGTGTCAGTTTGAAGTAATTCACTCAAAAACGCGTCGACAGCACTGCGAGGAAGAGGCTTAAGTCGGTGGCACGCCCTAGCCACCGCTGCCACTGGTTCTTTGTGAAAAAATAATATTTTCCGACACATTTTCAGAATACTAACAAAGCAGTTAGGGATACGAAGATCTTACCAGTGCTATATTTAAAAAAATAGCTCTGTATGGTCTAATAACTGTTCAGAGCTTTTTTTCAAAAGGACCTTTTTTCAGTTTATTTGATGGTTTGCAAAAAGCTTGCATCTAATCGTCTTGAAATTTTGTAGTATTGTTAGGAATCACGAAATCAATTTTCTGTTTTAATTTGAAGTCAAAATGTCAATTTTAAAGTCAGTTATGAACTACTCAAAAAAAAAGGGAAGAATTGGCACTTCTAGACAATTCACAAAAAAACGGCAAGGCCAATGTAAGTCCTCGAGGGCTCATTTTATTCGTATTAAAATTACGTAGTCTTTTTATCGAGAACATTTTTGTATATGAACTACAGTTTTTCTGATAGAAGCAAAAAATCTGTTTTTGCCATTTTTACGATATTTTTTGGTCCTATTTCTAATATTTTTTCGGTCCTTATGTGGTTACGTTTGTTGTTAGACTCAAGATCCATTGAAAAAAATTCTTATGGCCCAGTTTAGATTTTCTTTAAAAAGTGGTAGTTTTCATCTAGTTTGCTCTTACTACAATTACAAGACACCATAAGGTACTCAGGTCACTTTGACATACAAACATCCTGCCCTTTACGTTTTATGCGCTGGCAAGCTTTGGGCCATCAACTTATTTTAGGCTACCTTCCCTTACACATTTAAAGGTAAACAATTTTTTAAACGTAATATTCTTTATTTACATGAATGTTTACAAAAAAAAATTTGATGATCGATGGCAAGACACAAATTATATAGGTAAGACGAAGTATGGTCGTTTTCTAAGATAAAAAAATTAGAGAAATAATGTAAGTGTAATTTTGTACTATTTTTATTAGTCTAGTACATAGTACTTATTAAATAAGCTATTAGGTGTCTCATAATTCATAATTCCGGTAAATTAAGTTAATTAAGTGTTAACAATGAAGAATGCGCGAAGTGCGTTTAACATAACTAATAATCGTAAATGAAACAAAAGCAAATAAAGAATATTAATAAAAGGTGATAAGGGCAACTTAAATCTTAATAGTAAGGTAAATAGCCTCCATACGAATAGTTTTAATACCATGTAGTATGATACTTCACGTATAGAATTTCTAATGAATGGAACAATTAAAAAGCCATTTGTGAAGTAAAAGAAAGTAGAACCATAAAAATGTAATTTACATCCTATGTTATAACTTTAGTCCTACACAGTAACTTTTATCCTTGCCACCATTTTGTGATAATGTTTATGGTTTTCTTAATACAGTGTAGAACGTAGTTACCAATGTATTTTACTTAATTATAAACTGTACTTGTGCTCATGACAAAAGTTGAGGAATAACTATTCCTCGATCTGATACTCTCGCTTATCTAACTAAGCACTGATTTGCTAATGGGAGGGGAGGAGGAATCGAACGTGGTATCTCATAATACAACAATAGATGTTTAATAAGAAGTATAAGATATTTGAACGATTATAAGTAGCCTTCAAAACACCTTCTGATAGGTAATTAAAAAATGCTTAGAAATATGATCACAATGGTATTTCAAAAATGGTTTACCAGGCCTGTGTAGAGAGATCGTTAAAGCCAATTACCTCTGCAGAATCAATAGTCAAAAACCAATGCGAAAAAATTAATTTGTCGGACAGTCAGCAGTATTTTAAAAAGTTTACAAGGCAATTATTATATGACCAACTGACTTGCTTAGTCATGTAAGCCAGCAGATAGTGAGCAAGACCGTAAAATGATGGGAGCAAAGCCGAATGGGTCAACTTATACATTAACCTTCCAGAAATACGTCTTAACAAGTTAAAACAACTGAATTAAAGTTCCTCGAATGAACTTCAGCTGTAGCTATATGAAATATGCTTCTTTTCTCGCTTGCACTCTTTAGTATTAGGTTTACACTTAAATAAACATACGTAGATTTATTTTATACATAGACGTGACTCAGCAAACTAGAAATTTTATACTTACAAATAAATTGGAATGGAGATCATACAAACTTACTTATCGCCATAAAACGAAGTATTTAAAACTTAAATATTCTACTATTTGTATGTATAAAGTCCATCTATAAGTCTTCTGGGTGATGTAGAATGATGTAAGAAAATAAGTGTCCCGCACCATACACCACGCACTAGACGATGCCCGTGTAGTAATTGAGATGTACAGCCACACATGCTATGTTAGAAATCCCTGCACTGTATACTTTCTTCCTAGCTTAAA